GCTGCCCGGGGCCCGCCTCCCGGGCTCTGCTGTCGGAGGGAGGAGAAGGGACTGTGGGTGCCGGTGTCATCCGCTGGGTAATGCCGCGGCCCTGCCTGTGTCATTCACGGCAAGTCTTTGAAAGTGGAGAAGGATGCTGCCCCGTCCTTGAGCGTGTGCCCCAGAGCTGAGGATGGAGTCCCTACATTGCCCTCTGCAGCGGGCGCTGCCCCTGCAAGGCCAGCTCCGGGCCTGACCCGGCACGGGCAGGGGTGGTGAGTTACCAACCCTGGAGAAGGGGCCCAAAGATGTGTGCTTGGGCCGGAGGGGGTGGTGTTTGCTCTGATCCTCGCCTTTTCCTCCCTGTCACCTCGTCATACTGTCTAATTCTTGTCGCTGACCCCTGGGCTCCGGACGCATCTGCACCCCGCATCTCTGTGTCCTGCATGGCATTTGCGAGCAGCGGTGCCCCGCGTGCAGCCCGAGGCTGGGCAGTCCCTTATTTGAGATCTGTCTTTGGACTTAAATGTCTTGATTGTTCGGAGGCGTGGGGTATGTTAGGTCACCCCAGCCAGCTTTTCATTCTTTACACCACAGCTCAGGCCTTTGCCCGGCATTGTGAGTTGAGTTTTATGCTCCCCCTCCCACCTAATTTACCACATTTCGGCACAAGTCAGCACCCAGCCAGGCCTGCCTGGGAAGGTTCCGGGCCTGGCATGGTTGGCGTGTTAAATGTGAGCGGTGGGAGGATGTGTCTGGGGGAGGCGGTGGCCTGCGATAGGACTTTTTTTGCTTTTGTGCTGAGATGCACATACAATCCCACCTGCATTCTTGACTGAACCCCAGCTCTGTGTGCGGCGGGACAGTGCCGCTTGTTCGCGGCTGCAGGGGAAATACCCCGAGATCAGAAACACTCGTCATCCTTGTCGCTCTGAGGAGCGTTGGGAAGTGCTTTCAACTGCTCCTGACACCGGATCATGTTCGTGTCTGAGTCGTTAGTAACTACCTGAGTTGAGTAGAAAATAAATCTGATGTAGGTGCAGTAGTTTCACATTAAAATGCCATTGGCTGCCCGGCTGGCGTGGCTCCGTGGTTGAGCATCGTCCTGTGAACCAGGAGGTCATGGTTCGATTCCTGGTCGGGGCGCATGCCGGGGTTGTGGGCTCTTTCCTGAGTTGGGGCGTGCAGGGAGGCAGCCCATCAGTGATTCTCTCCCCTCATTGATGTTTCTATCTCTCCCTCTCCCTCTCCCTCTCCCTTCCTCTGTGAAACCAATTTAAAACATGTTTCCAGACGCCCTCTGCACTCTCCCATTTCCATGTACCTTCCTGAAGGCCGTCTTTTAAACTCCGCGGTGGTTTTCCTTCATGCAAAGCATGAGGGGCTGTGTCTCCTCCGGACTGACGCGGCCCGGAGAAGGCGTGGGGCGCTGCTCGCCGTGTGAGAGGGGGCATTCCTGGCCGTCAGCGGGAGGTGCCAGTGATGGGCCAGGATGAATTTGTGTTTTCCATCTTCAAGGAAGAATTGCCGGGCGGGTGGGTGATGCCGTCCAGATGGACAGGGGCTTCCACGGCCGGGTGACGGCCCCCCTGGGTCAGAGCCCGGGGCCGGGCACAGACGTGGTTCCGGGGCCTGGGGTGTCCGTGTTCACTCCTAGCGGG